ATGAGTTTAAAACTTCACTTCCACCGTTAAATCTTTTATTTTTATGACAAATAGGTCCCTAATTTTTAATGTTAAGATAATTACCCTAACACCGTTACGAACAACCCAGCCGCTCAGATTATAGGACGTGCATACTCTAACGTGGCAGCATCTTGCGAGGGATGCAAACTGCGCACCCTGTATACCAGAAACGCAAGCCCTGACCAATAACCCGCAGCGCGAAACGGTCAGAACTTTATTCCTCGTTTTCCCTCACGCCAAACAAAACTACTGAATTCGAAACCGCCATTTTCCCGGAAAAAAAATCCAGAGAACGGAGAAGTGCGTCCTCCGCACTCTTCCTTGTTTCTCTAAACCTTTGTTTCCTCTTCTTCTACACATTGATCCTTTTGATTTCTCTTTAATCGGAACCAGACGGCTCAAAATATGTCGATTCGCAATCTGCTCAATTGCGGGATTTCTCGCCATTTTCTTGCGTCCTGGATCGTCCTCAGCTGTTTTCCAGGTATATTTCCTTGAGAATCAATCAAGAAAACCTCTGTTATCGGTCACATTTTGTTCTTCTTAATTAGTTAGCTTTATTTTCTAGATCAAAATCATGTCCTCAGCTGAAATTTACAAATTTGCGAACAGAGGAATTGGAATCTTAGTTGTGATGAATTTTGTGTCGGTGATATCTGAATGGCAGGATTGATCTTTTCGGCGGTAGTAACGCTGGATTCGATTCAGATATTTGAAACACACGAGTGGCTAGCTGTTAAACCCACCATTTATTTCGCATGTAACGGGCAAAACAAGACGGTGTTGCCTGATGTCAAAAAGACAAACATATTGTACGTTTTCAAAGGGGAAGAATCTTGGCAGGTTCGTATTTGCTTTGTCGATAAGGGTTCTTTTTCACTGAATTTGAACAACAATTTTGATTTTTGAATGCCGTAATGCCGGAAAACTAGAAAGTTTTATGTATAGCTACTGAAGCTTCATGGTTGTTGTAGGTATCCATTCATATATTAGCTGTTGTAGAGTATGTAAATTCCAAATTGACAGGCTAGATATGCTTCTTCTTGTTGAAATGGCCATCCTTGTCAATTTAATAATGTTGACTTAGAGCCCCTTACTTGAAAAAAAATGTCTTCAGCATTCTGGGAACTTTTTAGGATCATTGATACTTTGTCTATAAATACCTGACCTTTAAGTTACTACAACATCCAAGTGTCTGCATCAGTTAAGTTCTGTTATGCTTGTTGCTAAAAATGCCTTTGTGATATTGGACTTTTTGTTGAATCCGTACTTATCATGGAAAGCTTGTTAAAATTTGTATTTAATTTCAAGGACAGATAAGTATATATATGTTTCCTGGCATGAGCTTGACCTAGGTGTGCTCTTAGATTGTTTGGTGCTTCTTGATACCTTGTTAACATGCCTAGCTTAACTGAGTCCTTTTCTATTATCCTTGGTTATATTAAATTTGCTTCTCTGACAGTTAAGAGTGTCCAGTGAAACTAAAACACCTTTGTGCTTCAGCCACTAACAGAACTTGAAAGCAAAAGGTGCAAGCGGTGTGGGATCTATGAGCAAGATGCTATTAAATCGGATGACGAATTTGATGAGTGGGAGTTTTGTTCTTCTGATTTTAAAGATGGGAAATATATTAGAGTCAAAGAAAAGGAATTCAATGCTACTTTCCTATGTCCACAATGCACTTCTCTTCCAATGGGTGAGTTTACTGTCACTTTTAATTTATTGAATTCTTTCCAAGTACATTTATGCTAAATATTGGAGGATTGTATTTACAGCTGATGTGCTGCATTGGTGGGGTAATTGAGGAAATGTTTGGCATCTTTGCAGATTTGTGGAAAATAATCTTTCCTTATTATGTTCATTTCACTAGGATACGGGTAACTTGAGAATATGCTTTCCTACCTTCAACTTTACAT